GATCTGGTAGAAAGAGTGCCTGAAGAACTATGGACAGAGGTTCACGATATTGTACCAGGAAGCAGTAATAAAAAAAGAAAAACATTTCAAAGAAAAAGAAGAGCAAGAAAGCAAAATGGTTGTCTGATGAAGCTTTACAAATAGCTAGGAAAGTGAAAGCGAAAGGAGAAAGGGAAAGCTATACCCAACTGAATGCAAGATTCCAGACAAAAGCAAGGAGAGATAAGGTTTTCTTAAATGAGCAATGCAAAGAAATAGAAGAAAACAATAGAATGGGAAAGACAAGAAATGTCTTCAAGAAAATTAGAGATATCAAGAGATTGTCTCATACAAAAATGGGCATGGTAAAAAACAAAGAATGGTAGAGACTTAATAGAAATAGAAGAGATTAAGAAGAGGTGGCAAGAATATACAGAACTGTACAAGAAAGATCTTAACATCGCTGATAACCACGATGGTGTGTTTACTGATCTAGAATCATACATCTTGGAGAATTAAGTCAAGTGGGCCTTAGGAAGCATTGCTAGCAATAAGGTTAGTGGAGGTGACAGAATTCCAGCTGAGCTATATAAAATTGTAAAAGGTGATACTGTTAAAGTGCTGCACTCAATATGTCAGCAAATTTGGAAAACAACAGTGGCCACTGGATTGAAAATATCAGTTTATATTTCAATCCTAAAGAAGGGCAAAGAATGTTCAAACTACCAAACAACTGCACTTATTTCATATACTAGCAAGGTTATGGTTAAGATTGTGCAAGCTAGACTCTAGCAATATGTGAACCAAGAATTACCAGAAGTGCAGGCTGGTTTTCAAAGAGGCAGAGGAGCTAGAGACCATAATCCAGCAAGGAAGTTCTAGAAAAAAATATCTATCTGTTTCGAAACTAAAACTTTTGACTGTGTGGATCACAAGAAAATGTGGTCAGTCCTCAAAGAGATGAGAGTACCATATCATCTTATTTGTCTCCTAAGGAACCTGTATGCGGGTCAAGAAGCAACAGTTAGAACTGAACACGAACCAACTGATTGGTTTGAGATTGGAAAAGGAGATTGGAAAACGACAAGGTTATATATTGTCACCGTATTTATTTAACTGATATGCAGAGTACATTATGCAAAATGTCAGGCTGGATGAATCAAAAGCCACAATTAAGGTTGCTGGGAGAAATATCAACAATCTTAGATATGTAGATGATACCACTCTGATGAAAGAAAGTGAAGAAGAATTAAGAACCCTTTTGATGAGGGTGGAAGAAGACAATGTAAAAGCTGGCTTGAAGCTTAATATATATATATATATATATATATA